CAGACGTGGAAACTGGGGAGTGCTCGGTGTGGAGGACGTAGAGACCGGAGTGCGGCTCCCTAGTGAACGTGGCCAATACTCTACCAGTGACAGCGTCCGTACAGACTGCAGTCCGCCCACCCCCCACAAAGGTAACGGTGATCCCCCTGTCCTGGAGGTATCCAACACCCACCAAGTTCCGAGTGAACGAGGGGATGTGGAGGCCACGCAGGACACCAGAGGGGACCACAGGGCACGGGAGGGTGGTAGAGCTGCGTGCCACGGCTGGTCCTGAGGAAGGATCAGCCAGGGCTACCGGTACCGGAGCAAGGAGCGGTGTGAGTGTCGTGTGGTCGCGGAAGAAGCACTGCGACGCGCCAGAGTCCAACGTGAACGACAAGGACGCCACTGCCTGTGGTGAACCCGGTGTGGAGGCTATACAAGCACCTAGAGCTGAAACACAAGCACCTAGACTAGAGAGGCACAGGTCTACGCTAGCAGGAGGCAAGCAAGCTAACCTACGAACACGCGAGCACACAGATCCATCAGCACTATAGTCAACATCAGCATACAAAGCATACTGACGAGCATCGTCCATAGACAAATCAAAGACAGGAATCTTACGAGCTAACAGGCAAGCCCAGCGCGGAGTGGACGCCTCAGGGCCCCAGCGGGCACGGTAGAGGTCGTCGAGGCGGCGGAAGCACCGCGCGGCAGAGTGGTCGTCGCGGCCGCAGACGCAGGGGCTGCCCGGTCCGGTGAGGCACCAGTAGTCACAGGGGCCGGTGTCACGGCGAGGGGGGCGAGGGGCCCAGCTGGAACCGCTGCTGCTGCGGCCGGCGCTCCCTGGTCCTCCCGTACCCCACTGCGGCGGGGGGCCCCAGTGCTGCTGCGGACCCCACGTCAGTGGGGGCCCCCAAGGCTGGAACTGCTGCAGTGCCTGCTGCTGCTGTCCCTGCTGCTGCTGCTGTCCCTGCTGCGGGTGGTGCTGCTGTGGCTGCTGCTGCTGAGGTCCGACTCCCCCACCGGGCAGAACACCGCCAGTAGGTGGGCCTGTCGGTCCTGCACCTCCTCCAAGGCTCCCTCCTGGTGTACCACCGCCGCCACCGCCGCCGCCACCGCCGCCGCCGCCACCACCGCTCCCAGGTCCACCGCCACCACCTCCACCGCCGCCTCCACCGCCGCCTCCAGTTCCCTTCCCGCCCTTCTTGCCACTCTTGCCCCGTTTCTGCCAGTCTGCGGCAGAGACGGCGGCCGTGTCCTCAGAAACCGACACAGCAGCAGAAGCGCGGGTAGCAGTGAAAGTGGGAAGCTGAGGGGCGGCACACCCCGCAAAGAGACGGGGGGGCACTGCGTCAGTGGCGGAGGCAACGGAGAGGAGGTTACTCTCGATCTTCCCGAGAGCGGTCTCAAGGAGATCGATAGTAAGCTCAGTGGGGTGCTTCTGGAGAAGCGCGTGGCGAGCAGTGGCAAGGCGGTCAGGGAGGCGGGTGACTAACCAGTGCACAGTGAGCCACATGGGGGGGGGAGCAACAAGGAGCTGTGCGTCGGTACAGGCTGCACGGAAACCGGCGTCAAGCGAGCGAAGGTGAGTCACTAGATCGGAAACAGTCGCAAACGAGCCTAGGCCGGGAAACACGAACGGCATGAGGAGGCGACTGAGGGAGGCAGAGGAAGGGGTGGAATAGCGGGCAACAATAGCATCCCAAACCCCCTGTGCTGTCTCCACCTGGTCAAAGTGGGCGGCCTCAGTCGGGGGGAGAAGTTCCGTCAGCGCGAGAGCGGCGGCAGCGTCACGAGAGAGCCACACGTCCTGGGCCAGGACCTGACGGTCGTACTCCGCCTGGGCAGTAGGAGTCAGCTCCGAGGCGGGCGGCAGGGCGGCGGGGGACGCGGGGGCCGTGAGGGCACTAGACGCGTGGGCCCACAGTGTGGCGCCGTCCTGACGCTGGCTGGTGAGGAAGCGCGTGGTCTGGCGCTGCCAGGTACCGAACTCGATTGGGCGTCCCTCCGCATCGAAATGAAGGCGACGGGACTCCATAACAAAGGCAATGCTAGAGGCGGCTGGAGCACGGCGGAGGCGGAGCTAAGAACGAGGAGGGAATCCTAAAAGCGCCAGGAGTGGCAAGGTGTGACAACGACGGAGCGAGAGGCTAGGAGCACTGAGCGACCGAGTCTAGGCGTGAAACGGTGGATCTCCAGCTCCAAGCGCTAGAGGCGAGGTACTAGTGGCTAAACTGCGCTAACCTAAGCGGCCGGCGAGAGAAAGCGGCTGCCAGCCGCTGAGCGATAGACCAATGTCAGTAGAGCTGGGGAACGCCACGCGCACCAGGCAGTGGTGGGGCTAGGGCGCGTGCCAAGGGTGGGGAGGAGGGCGCGACGGTGGGGGAAGGGCGGGGAGGGCGGTTTTGACGGTGGGAACGGGCGCAAAGGGCGGTTTTGACGGTGGGAATGGGCGGGAGGAGGGCTCGACGGTGGGAAATGGGCGGGAAGGAGGTCGCGACGGTGGGAAGGGGCGGGGCGGAGGTCGCGACGGTGGGGAAGGGGCGGGGAGCCGTGAGCTAAGCGCGACGGGCTAGGCGCGGGCCTGGGCGACGGGCTAGGCGCGGGCCTGGGCGACGGGCTAGGCGCGGGCCTGGGCGACGGGCTAGGCGCGGGCCTGGGCGACGGGCTAGGCGCGGGCCTGGGCGACGGGCTAGGCGCGGGCCTGGGCGACGGGCTAGGCGCGGGCCTGGGCGACGGGCTAGGCGCGGGCCTGGGCGACGGGCTAGGCGCGGGCCTGGGCGACGGGCTAGGCGCGGGCCTGGGCGACGGGCTAGGGGGCGCGGAGGTCGCTGTCGCGCGGAGGAGGAGAGCGCGGAGGGCGCGGAGGGCGCGTTTGAGAGGGCGCGGAGGGCGCGTTTGAGAGGGCGCGGAGGGCGCGTTTGAGAGGGCGCGGAGGGCGCGTTTGAGAGGGCGCGGAGGGCGCGTTTGAGAGGGCGCGGAGGGCGCGTTTGAGAGGGCGCGGAGGGCGCGTTTGAGAGGGCGCGAAGGGCGCGATTTGGAGGGCGCTACGCGTGCAACGGGAGGCTAGAGCGTGGAGGGCGCTAGAGGGCGAGTTAGGCTAGGATACTCTACCAACCCGTGATACCATCTTAAAGTTAGAGAGAGATGTGCAACGGAATGGCGAGACTAGTGTCGAGGGAGATACAAAAGCAACCCTAAAACATTTGTACTCCCTAGTGTGCTACTCACTGTAGCCTAAGAACCTATAATAACATTTGACATGTCGGCATGTCGGCCTGGGGGGTTACGGGCGCACTCACCCGCTACACAAATAAGCCCTTTTATCCCAGTGGTTAGTGACTGGGATTCTGACATACTTCCATCAAATCCTTTATGCAGATTTTTGGGATTTCATTTTACGTGTACTGTGTGTGTTCTTGCTTTGTATTCATGAATATGCATGTGCATGTGTATCTATATGTTAAGGGGGGATTTACTGTTCATTCCGAACAGTACTTTCCAAGTCACCCTTATCCTTATCTTCTCAGATTCTCTAGTGCCACGTGGCACTCTACTTTTCTTGCACTACAATTCTTGGGAAAATATGTCAATGGTAACTTATATGGGGCACTATAACGCGTACGGTAACGATTTCAACGCGTTTGGTAACTCGCTTAACGCGTTTGGTAACTCGCTTAACACGTTTGGTAACTCGCTTAACGCGTATGGTAACTATACACTAGCAGCCCATCACGCGAATGGTAACTACATGAAATTCCCGCCGAAATGATTCTGACAAAAAAGAAATTTATCGAGTTTGCCAGCTTTTACGCACGGTTTTATTTTTTTCGAACAGGTCCCGCCGCAACTTTGAAGGACCCCGTTTGTTCTATTACCACGGACCGAAAAGTTTCAGGGCCGTTACATATATTTATACATATAGCTCGTAAAAAAGGTTGAAATCATATTTTTGGTAGCGTGATTGCGAACTTGCAAACTAATAAAAAAAAATTCCCCAAAATGACCTCGAGGCTTTTACTTTTGCATGTGGGAAAAATACACCTCTTTTAAATTACATGTTTCATTTTTCAAGAAATAACTATAAACGGCTTGTCGCAATGAGTTTAGGGTTGATGCTCTCAAATTTATTTGCCATCTGAAGGGGTATAGAATTGTTTGCCCCGGCTGCGGGATAGAATTGAGTACGAACAATTTGTGGAAAGAGCGCCATAATATCAATTATTTATGATAAGTTGTGTTCAAAACACTCACCTTTTTGCAATTTGCTTGAAATCGGAAAGTGTGTCAGGATTTCGGAAAGTGTGTCAGAATTTCGGAAAACTATGTCAGAATTTCAGAGAGTGTGTCAGAAGTTTCTACTTCAAGATTCGTCAATTTAGACTGACGCGAGCGGAAAAAACCAGAATCAGGGTCATTTTGGGCGGGAGTTTCATTTAGTTACCATTCGCGTGATGGGCTGCTAGTGTATAGTTACCATACGCGTTAAGCGAGTTACCAAACGTGTTAAACGAGTTACGCGCGTTAAGCGAGTTACCAAACGCGTTGAAATCGTTACCGTACGCGTTATAGTGCCCCATATAAGTTACCATTGACATATTTTCCCACAATTCTTGGTCCCACAATCCACTTTCCAACCTTGTTTCTTGCATGCTTTATAAACCTTGCTTGTACTTGGCATTATCAACCAATTCTCATTCAACTCTTCTTCAATTACTCAGTAACTCCTTCGCCTATTTCGCTAGTAGTTCTTTCGCCAAAGTCTTCCGCCGCGCTTCATCCTCGACTTAGTCGACCCCGCTAATTCTTTAGCAGACTTAGGCCAGCAGGCCTAACATATATATCCTTGCAGATGCACACATGTCTGTCCTGTGAACTTGTGCGCTTACATCACACATTACTTGTCGAGTGCCTTGAGAATATCCCCGTTACTGCAGAGCTCACACCCAAAGCTTCCTCCAAAGCGATTTTCTTCCAGTTCTTCCTCCTCCTATCACCATTTTTTCCATTTCTGCACTATGGCGGTATTATCTGAAATCGAAGAGCCGCCGCAGCCGGCGCAGCCTCCGTCGGAAGGGCCAAGTGCCGGCGAGAGTAGCTCTCGAGCGCGCGAAGCGGGCGAAAGTGGTAACGGTACGGACGAGTTTCCGTACGACGGCTCGCTGCTATCGCTGCTCAGGCAGCACGACGATCGGCCGTTGGATCTGCTCCGGACGGTCGTTGGCTTCTTGCAACGAAAGTCGAGCTTCTTCGCAGACGCGGTGCGGTTGTAGTGTGACTTTGGTTTACGTGTTACTCTACGTCACGTGACGTGCCAATATTAAAAAGACCATCTGATTGGTGTTTTCCCGTTCTTTCTTTCTTTCCTTTTTCGGTCTTTCGGTCCCACTCCTTGCCGATGCAGCGGTCGGAGACTGAAGCGGAAAAGCTGATTCACTCGGCGCGAGTGCAGTTCGAGAGGGAGAGGCGAGACCGCGAGCAGCGGAGAGAGAAGGAGAAGGCGGAAACGGAGAGACTAGAAAAGGAACGAGAGAAGGCGAGAATAGAAACGGAGAGGGAGGAGAAGGAGAGGAGAGAGAAGCAGGAGGCGGCAGGGAAGGGGAATGAGAAGGTAGCGGTTGGGAGTGGTGCGGAGGGGAAGGACGGTGCGTCAGCGATGGAGATCAGCGATGGGGAAGCGAAGGAGATGGAGGAGGACGGAGATGAGCCGGTGGCGAGCGGGAAACTGAGTGAGTGCTGAATGTCTCAGCATTTATTTACTGCTGAAAGGTGTTTTTTAGCCAGCCTTTGAGTCAACCGCAGTGAGGAGATGGAGATGGGGTGGTTGGTTGGTTGGAGGAACCCAACCAAAGGCATGGGAGGCATTGGGTGGTTGGTTGGTTCCTCCAACGCTACCACCCCATCTCCGTAGCGTTTGGAAAACTGAGTGTATGCCGCCCATGCCTCGCATGCCCCATCCCTCCCATGCCTCGCATGGCCCATCCCTCCCATGCCTCGCATGCCCCATCCCTCCCATGTCTCGCATGCCCCATCCCTCCCATGCCTTGCATGGCTTGTGATTGTATGTGTTCATCGCATATGAGTGCGAGATGGTTCCTGGTGGGGCGGTAGTTAATTACTGAACGGTTCAGTCTGAACCTCTGTACAAACCTTCAAGTGCGGTCAAAACCCTGAACCTTGGTCAATAGTCGATTTTTGAGTCGACTCAAAAATCGACTAACTACGTGCGGTCAAAACCCTGAACCTTGGTCAATAAAGCCCCTCCCCCCTTCTCCTCTTCCGCTCAATCTTGCCCTATTGAGAACCATCGTCGGGTAACGGGGCGGACTGCAGGACGACACTCCTTCACACAGACTGCGAGGGAATTGAGTGTGGCGATTCTTGTTCCTGCCCTTCTCCTTCCCCCCTCCTTCCCCTCATACACTCCTTACAGAGCCATCCCCGGGCAACGGAGCGGACCTGGGGCGATACTCCTCTCACACAGACCCTGGGCGAGTTTGAGTGCCATTCTCTCCTCCCTCCTCTCGCCCATACCTCCCATTCCACTTACCGTTGCTCTTGCTATTGCTCCCCACAGAGCCATCCCCGGGCAACGGAGCGGATCTGGGGCGATACTCCTTCACACAGACTTTGGGAGAGTTGAATCTAGCGATTCCCCTGCCTGCGGGCACCAAGGCACGGGGAGTGGCGGTGGAGATCAAGAAGACAAAGCTGGTGGCTGGGCTGAAGGGCCAGCCGCCTGTGCTGGAGGTGATAATGCGATGATGAGTAGATTGTGATTGTTGGAGGGAGTGGGTTGAGTGTGGTGATTCCCCAGCCTGCAGGCAGCAAGGCACGGGGAGTGGCGGTGGAGATCAACAAGACGAGACTGGTGGCTGGGTTGAAGGGGCAGGCGCCTGTGCTGAAGATGAGGAGGCACGATTGACTAAAGGAGAATTTACCAGAAGGATGGATTGGGATGGGTTGGGTTGGGTGTGGTGATTTCCCTCCATGAATGTGGGCACCTAGGCACGGGGGTTGGAGGTGGAGATCAAGAAGACGAGGCTGGTGGCTGGGTTGAAGGGGCAGGCGCCGGTGCTGGAGGTGAGCATGACATGAACGGCTGAGCCAAAGGGAGAGTAATAAATGTATGGGCTGGTGCAGACGATTCCCCTTCCCGCCAGCACCAAGGCACGCGGCGTGGCGGTGGAGATCAAGAAGACGAAGCTGGTGGCTGGGTGGATTGAAGGGGCAGGCGCCTGTGCTGGGTGTGAGGTTGCAATGCAAGGGTGTTAATAATAGGGAGGTTGCGCCTCACCTCAACCCAATCCCTCCCTGTGGTACCAAAGGGAGGGCATGTGAGAATGAGCTCTTCCCTACTCCTCCCTCACGCCCCCCCCCCCCCCCTCCTCCCCCCCCCCGCTACCCTCACTCCCTCTCCCCCTGGCGCCTATAAACTCCTTTCCTTCAACCCTCTCCCCTCCCCTGTTTCTTTATCAGGGCGAGCTGTGGGCGCCAGTGAAGGTGGACGACTGCATCTGGAGCATTGGTAAGATTTCTCCTCCTCAATTTCCCTCCCACCCACTGTTGCTCCCTTATTGAAACACATCAAGCACTTCTGAGGGAGGGGCGATCCTTCTCTTACCCTCACCTTTTTGGTCCCCTTCTTTCGTCTCCTGACTTCGCTTGAAAACTTTGTTCCCCCTCCCCCTCTTCTCTTCAGAGGACAACCCTGGGGGCGGTCGAACCCTCTCCGTTGCCCTTTCTTCCCCCCCGCCCCGCCTCACCCTCCCTGCTCTCTCCCTCCTCCCTTTCACCCCCTCTCTTTACGTCCAGAGGACAACCCTGGGGGCGGTCGCACCCTCTCCATCCTCCTCACCAAGGTCAACCGCATGGAGTGGTGGAGTGCGGTGGTGAGGGGCGAGCCGGAGATCGACACTCAGAAGGTGGAGCCGGAAAACAGCAAGCTGGGCGACCTGGACGCTGAAACGAGGCAGACTGTAGAGAAGATGATGGTGAGAGAATGGGAGAAGGAAGAAGGGGAGGAGAGGAAGTGGGGTGTTGATAGTGTTGTGCATATGTGTGTGTGGGGAGGGGGGGGGAGAAGGTGCGAGAACAGCAAGCTGGGGGACTTGGGATGCTGAAACGAGGCAGATTGTAGAGAAGATGATGGTAAGGAGAAAAAGGGGGGAGGTGGTAACAGGGGTGCGAGTTGGTGCATGTGTTTTGGATCTGACTCAAAACTTGGTGCACGTGCACGTGTGTGTTGGAAGAGCAAACTTGGGACCCTGATGCCCAATTTAATCAGACTGTACTGTAGATGGGTTGACCAAACGATAGGAGCCCTTTTTACCTTCTGAGAAATTTCCCTGTTGTTTTGATTCTCAGTGCTCTTGCCCACTCCCCCCCCCTTCCTTTCCTCCCCTTTCCCCCTCCCTCCTTCCCCCACTCTCCCAATCCCCCGTTCCCTGCTATGCTCCCCACTTCCCCTCACAGTACGACCAGCGGCAGCGGCAGATGGGGTTACCAACGAGTGAGGAGCAGCACAAGCAGGAGATTCTCAAGAAGTTCATGGCTCAGGTGGGTGGTTGCTGGATCAGGTGTGTGCTTTCTGGGCTCGGGTGGGTTTTCAGGTGGGTGGCTTTATGGGCTCAGGTGTGTGGATTCTTGGGCTCAGGTGGGATTTCAGGCGGCTGGCTTTACGGGCTCAGGTGTGTGGATTCTTGGGCTCAGTTGGGTTTTCAGGTGGCTGGTTTCTTGGGCTCAGGTCAGGTGGCTGGCTTTTGAGGCTTAGGAGTGTTCATACATTCTCTTTCGTTTCCCAGCATTCGCTTCCCCACATTCCCTTTCCCAGCATCCCCTTTCTGTTCCTTCCATCTACTCTGTCCCCCTTCCACTGTGGCATCTTCTCACTCGCCACCTCTTAGCCCTTCTCACTCACTCTCCTCCTCTCGCACCCCCTTTTTCCTTCCTCTCTCACCCCCCTTTCTCACTCACCCTCTTCCTCTCTCTCACCCCCTTTCTCACTCACCCTCTTCCTCTCTCTCACCCCCTTTCTCACTCACCCTCTTCCTCTCTCTCACCCCCTTTCTCACTCACCCTCTTCCTCTTTGTCACCCTCTTCCTCTCTCTCACCCTCCTAAACTCAACCTCCTCCCTGTGTGCAGCACCCCGAAATGGATTTCTCCAACGCCAAGTTTCCGATGTGAGCACGAAACCCACAAGAAAGCAGCATTCAGCATAAAGCAGCGTGTTTAGAAGAGATACAGAGTTGGAGTTCGAGGAAGGGTCTTAAAACAAGCTGGCAGAACTATAGCAGTCAGGCTGAAGCAGTGTGTAATGGCTAGACTAGAACGCTCATCAAGCCAGGAGAACTAGTACTAGCACCATAAATGCAGACAGAGGTCTCAAGATCGGAAGTGTTGTTTCATTGATGGTGGTTGGGGTACAAGTAGCAAACCCTAACATACGTACCCCCAAAGACACATCTCACTACAGGCTACCAACATTTGACACACCCCCATAGCCTAAGTGAGGGGTGTCTAGCAAAACCAAAAGAGTACGGTCACAAGACCAGTCACAAAGAAACAAAGCTCAGGGTGGATCACAACGTCACCACAAACTCTGAGCACAAGCAACAATGGCCACAAGGCCAGTCCAAACAATAACAGAGATATATAGAAAGGGTACAAGCAAAGCAAGCAGTGAACTCAAGACTAAGTAAGCCGAAAACCAGTGTCAACAAGGCCTAACTGCACACAACACCTGTGGTGGTCACAAGGCGGAAGCGCCTTGGTGAAGATGTCTGCAGTGTTGGCCTCAGACTCCACAAACTCGAAGCGAGCCTGTCCACGCCTCTGCAACTCTCGCAGAAGAAAGTACCTGACGTTAATGTGCTTCACTCTGCTCTCCAGTCGCGGCTCTCGACAAAGGAGAATGGATGCCTTGTTGTCAGTGAACAAGGTCGGTGCAGAGCTCGGCCGCTCACCCAGGTCGGCGAGCAAGAACGTCAACCAACGCAGCTCCTGTGCCGCCATGGCACCAGCGTAGATCTCAGCCTCAGCTGTAGAGGTCGAGACCGAAGAGGAGCGCGTGGACCGCCAGGAAACAGCTCCAGAACCCAGACTGAAACAGTACCCCTGAGTAGACCTGTGAGTCTCAGCGTCGTCAGCGTAAGAAGAGTCACAGTGACCAGTAAGTACAACAGACTGCTGCCCTCCAAGAACTAGCCCCACGCCTGATGTCGTCGCTAGGTACTTCGCCACCCTCACAGCTGCTGTCCAGTGAACAGGACGGTGTCTCCCTGGCGCAACAAAGCGCGCAAGGATGCTGAGAGGGAAAGCGAGGTCCGGGCGAGTACAAGTCATCAGGTACATGAGGCAACCCACAAGCTCTGCGTAGGGACCACTAGGCTCAAACGGCTCGTCAGGAAAGGGGCCAGTGAGTCTGTGGTCAACAGCAAGAGGTGTGCGCTGTACTGTGGAGTGCTGAAGCTCGAACCGCTGAAGGACCTGCTGCACCATGTGTGACTGTGAGAGTGTAATGGTGCGAGCAGCTCTGTCCCTGGTGATCTGCAGCCCAAGGTAATGGCGCAGCTCACCAAGGTCAGTGCACGTGTGTCTCTTCTGCAGTTCGGACTTCACGTCTGCCAAAGCAACCCTGTCAGCAGTGGCGAAAACTAGGTCGTCGACGTAAACCAGAACGAAGAACGGTGTGGAGCCACGGCGAATGAACAGCGACGGGTCGGCAGAAGACGGCTGGAACCCAAGGTCAGAGAGGGTAGAGCGAAGAGTGTCGTGCCACTCACGAGGTGCCTGGCGAAGACCGTAGACAGGTCGCCTCAGCCTCCACTGGGTCCCAGGAGGGAAAGTGCCAGTGAAGGCAGAGGGACGACGCAGCCAGACCTCCTCGTGTAGGCTGCCCTGAAGAAAAGCAGTGGAGAAGTCGAGAGAGTGTAACTCGTAGTCTCTCTGTGCTGCTACGTGCAGTAACACCCGAAGAGTGGTCATCTTCGGGGTGGGCGCGAAGGTCTGAAAGAAGTCAACTCCCTCGCGCTGACTGAAACCTCTAGCAACGTAGCGCGCCTTGAAGACTGGAGGAGATCCTGGTGGCCGCTTCACCCTGTAGATCCACATGCCATCGACTACGTTCGTCCCAGGGGGAGGAACCTCATCGACGTAGGTGCCTGTGGATCTGTAGGAGGCCATCTCTGCGTCCATGGCAGCTCTCCACTGAGAGGCCCAAGGCCCTGACACTGCCTCAGCGTAAGTGCGAGGAGTCGGAATGTCAAGGGCGTCAGGGTCACCCTCAGGGGTGAGGAGCATGGCACAGAGATGAGGGGAAGCGGCTGCCAGGAACTCTAGCTCAAACTGCCTGTCCTCTAGGACGTCACAGCCAAGGGCAGACACACCCCCGACGGCCAGAGGACTGGTAGGAGGAGCAGCCACAAGAGTGGTGGCGTAGTCAAGGCGGCGAGTAGAGGCAAACTCAGTGACCGCGGCAGTAAGAGCAGAGACAGAGGACAAAGAGGCACGAGGGTGGGTAACAAGAGAGGCGAGAACACGAGAGAGAACAGGACGGTACGTGCGGTAGTAGTCAGTGACAGGGGTAGAGAGAGAAGCTGTGAGGGCCGACTCAGGAGGAGAAGGAAGCACAGGAGGAGCCGAACGAGACGGACTAGAACGTAACAAGACAGTACGAAGGTCAGTGAAAGGAACAGGGGACGAGGGACGAGCACGAGGAGAGCGACGAGTAGCCCAAGTACGAGACGGAGGAGGAGAGGACAAAGGCGGAGAACCGTGGAAAACAGCGGGGGAGGAGTCAGGAGGAGGAAACGTGGGACCGTAGACAGGAGGAGAGGCGGGGGAGGGAGGAGAAGGAGAGGGGAGACCAAGGGTCCGAAGACCTGAGACAGGAGGAGGAAGTGGCTGCTGCTGCTGCTGCTGGTGCTGCTGCTGCTGCTGCGGCTGCGGCTGCTGCTGGGACTGCTGCTCCTGCGGCTCCAGCTGCTGCTGCTGCTGCTCCTCCAGCTGCTGTAACTCCCTCTCCTCTCTCTCCAACGCCAGCTGCTCCTCACGGGCACGGCGAACACGAGCCTGGTGCCTAGTCGGGTAGGGGTGGGGGGGCGGAGTAGTGTCCGGAGCAGCGGCAGCTCCAGAGTCCACCCCCGAAGGACCAGGCACACCACCCCCAGAGGCAGCACTAACACCAGCTCCAGACCCAGGCTCACCAGAACCTGAAGGAGGCGCACCCTCACCCCCAGACAGAGCACCCCCAGTGTCCGCGCGACCAGCACCAGCTCCCGGAAGACAAGAGTCCTCTGCACCCACCGGCTCAGCTCCAACTCCAGCACCCCCAGAACTAGAAACCGGTACTGGAACAGGCTCGGCACCAACCTCTCGAGAGCTAGCACCTGCGGCACGCTGCGAGGAGGACTGTGGGGAGGGAGGCTGTACCGGAGGGGCTACCGAAGGAGGAGGGGTAGCCTGGGACACACCTGACGGGGCTGGACCAGGGGGGGGAGGCTGTACCGGGGGAGCAGGAGGGGGAGCGGCAGTCAGGAAGAGGGGGGGAGGAGGAACCGGGAGACCTCGACCGGGGTGCCTGACGAAGTACGGGGTGGACTCCTCGAAACGGACGTCACGGGAGTCAAAGAACCGGTGAGAGGGAGGGTGGTAAAAGGTGAAGTCAGAGGAGTCCTCAGGGAAACCAAGGAAGACACAGGGGACGGCGCGAGGCGAGAGCTTGTCCGCAGAGGTGTCGCGGACAAGAGCCAAGCAACCCCAGACACGAAACCTCGACGCAACACCAGGGGACCCGGTCCAAAGACTGGTCGGTGAAGCCTCTGGCCGAGAGACGCGTGGCCAGAGGTTCAGCTGGTGCGCGGCGTACCGAACCGCGTAAGGCCACAGAAAATGGGGGGCACGGGCGTGAGTCAGGGAGGTGCGGGCAATCTCCATGACCAAGCCTATGCGGCGCTCAGCAACCCCATTCTGCTGCGGGGACTCTGGAAGCGTCCAGGACTGACGAATGCCCTGCTCGCGACAGAATCCAGCGAGAATGCCGGAGCGAAACTCACCCCCGCGGTCAGAGTGAAGACAGCTGACACGACGACCACGAGTGTCCGCGGTGGTGAGCAACCACCTGATCAGCGTAGAAGTCACCTCAGACTTCTTCGCCAGGGGGAACACCGTGGTGTAGCGGGAGTAGTCGTCAACAACCACCAGAAAGAAACGCTCACGCTCAGGGCCAAGGCGAGAGGCGGGGCCCCAGACATCTAGGTGAAGCGTCTCAAACGGCTCGGTGGCCGGACGAAGGGAGGAGGAGTGAGGGGTGGCGCGCAGCCGACCCTCGACGCAAGGACCGCACGGTGGTGCAAGAGACGGCGGCAGCGACGGCAAGACACGCGGGAGACCTAAGACCAGACGCTGACTAGACATAGCACGCAGACGTGGAAGAGAAGGGTGTCCCATCCGGTGGTGCCACAGAACGGTGGGGTGGGCAAGCGACCGACAGGAGCAAGACGCAGCGACTGGACTGGACGCGACAACCTGAGGGGACGGAACCACCTGGTGAGACGCAGGGAGGAGACTAGGGGGAGGGACAGGAACTGGGAGTAGGGGCTGCTGCGACGGCGGCCGCTGCGGCTGCTGCTGCTGCTGCTGCTGCTGCTGCTGCTGCTGCTGCTGCTGCTGCTGCTGCTGCTGCTGCTGCTGCTGCTGCTGCTGCTGCTGCTGCTGCTGCTGCTGCTGCTGCTGCTGCTGCGTCCACTGCCGTGCGCGCGGGCCAGTGTGAAGAGTGTAGAGACCGGAACCCGGCTCAGCAGCAAAGGTGGCGAGAGGCTGGTAAGAGTCACCGTCAACACACACTGCAGTCTCCCCAGAAGGCTCAAACCACACACCCACGTGCTGACTCACGAGGGGTCGCACGCCCACCAAGTTCCGGGAGAACGAGGGGACATGAAACCCAGTGAGAGACCCGGAGGGGGCAGCAGGACACGGCAAAGTGGTAGTGTGACGTGCAGTGACTGGTCCCGAGGTGGGATCAGCCAGTGCCACAGAGACAGGCGCAGGAAGTGGCGTAAGTGTCGTGCTGTCACGAAAGAAGCAGTGCGAGGCTCCAGAGTCCAGCGTGAAAGACAGTGAAGTGTCCTCCGAGGTAGCCGCTGGACTAGTGTCTACACAAGAACCTACACTAGCAACAGGCAACT